CCAAAATACAACCCAAAAATTTCGTTTTTAAAACAATATTAAAACCATAATATCATTGCCGGAGTATGAAAATCATAAACCATGTGTTTCAAAATGTTATAATATATATCACATATCAAATCTCACATCGAATATCATATCAAAATATAAGAGTAAAACTCCCAGGCTGAAGACTGTGGTGTGTGCCATACGATCATCCTGAGCTCTTCCCTTTGCTACCGGAAGTACCTGAGACCAAAACCGAAACTGTAAGCACGAAGCTTAGTGAGCTCCCCCAAACTACCACATACCATACAAAGCACATATAACAAATAACATAACTTTGGGACTACCCCAACTGCATCGGGACTAATCCCGGCATCGGTTTACCCGGCATCGGACTCCTATCCGGCATCGGGCTCACCCTGGCATCCGACCGCATCGGGCATCGGGCTTACCCCGGCACATACATAACATAATCACATAATCTGCATCGGTCTTGCCCCGGCATCGGACCGAAGCCCGAAACAAATAACATATAACACATAAACTAGCATACATCGGGCTTGCCCCGAAATACATAACACCTGGCATAATGACTAACATGCATTAGGCTTACCCCAGAACACTTAACACATAACATATCACATAATCGCATATACTGCATCGGGCTTGCCCGACATCGGACCAGAGTCCGGGACACATAACACATAGCACATATACATGCATGAGTCACAAAGACATCAAGCATACTTAACTACTTCTCGAGACCGTCCCGGCATCGAACCGAAGTCCGAAAGCATATGAACTACATCGGGCTAACCCCATCATTGGGCTTACCCCGACATACTATAACTACTTAAACGAGCCGACATTGGTGCCTTAGGCCCGTTCCTACTGGAGGAAAACTCACCTCGTAAAGCTGACTGTCTGCTGAAATCCGAACGAGAAATCCCTGTCTGCTGTTCCGGTGACTTCCCGGCTATAAATTCCACAAGGAAACTTAGTCAAAAACTGATAACTAAACTTAGGGTAAAATGACCATTTTACCCCTGGCTAAAGTCAACATCCAGTTGACTCGACTCGCCGAGTTGGTCCGCCAACTCTCCGAGTCCCTATTCTTTTTTCTGTCCCCAACCCGACTCTACTCGTCGAGTCTAGCAAGAAGTCGACGAGTTCTCCTTCAATTAACATCGGGACAATCTTCAACTGACTCGCCGAGTTCCTCTTTGAACTCGTTGAGTTCATCTTCATCATATGAGTGTGTCTAGTCTGTGACTCGCCGAGTTGTATGAACAACTCGTCGAGTCTGTCTTCATGGGTTGGGAGATTGCCTTGGACTCGCCGAGTATGTTCATCCACTCGTTGAGTCCCATGGTTTCCAGGTCTATATCTACGTCTATTTTGTTGAGTCCCCCTTCTGGACTCGTCTAGATCCCTTCTAGACTCAACTAGCTCCCTTCGAATTAGAAAAGGTTGGGGAATCAAACCCCCGACTCGTCGAGTCCCATGAGTGACTCGTCGAGTCGACTTATGTCCAAGTCCATAACTCGATTTCTGTTGTGCAAATCTCATCCAAAAGGTAGATCTGGGCTCCTAAGGCCGATATAACACGTAAATTCATGAACTTTACGTCCATACATGGGACTTTTAAGCTTAAAGGACCAAAAATGGAGTTTATTACATGCATGGGGTTCTCATGGCCATAGAGATGGCACCTTTATGCCATGAGGACCCTCCAAGGTTCCAGATCTGAAGCTTCTACCCTACATTACACCCTAGAATCCGAAATGACATGGAAATGCCCCCAAAGATGTCAAGGTTCAATCCCCAATTTAGATCTAATACATAGGAGGTCAAGATAAGGGTTATTTACCTCAAATACACTGGAAATGTAACCAAACTCGGAATCCACTGACTAGCTCCTTGATTCACCAAACTTCCCTTCCTTCTTCTAGCTTCAAATTAAGATGCAAAAGCACAATATAGCTCAAAGATGCTCACAACTGATTAGGGTTTCGGGGACAGGACTTGGGGGTGATGGAGGCTGGGGTGGAAGCCTCATATGTTGTTTAAATAGGGTGCAAACCCTCCAATTTAGGGTTTCACTCAGACAACTCCTATTCGCCGAGTCGGTCTTCCGACTCGTCGAGTAGGTCACTTATTCCCCCGAACCGGAGTCGATCCTACTCGACGAGTTGAGCCTTCAACTCGTCGAGTCCAAGGGTAAAAATATGAAGTTTGACTTAAATTTAAATGCGTACCTGAGACTGGGTGTTACACGCATATCAAACATGCTCTAACTGCATCATCATTGGTACACGCTAAGAATGTCTGATTTAAAATATAACGTTTCAAATCACAGATTTTCACCGAACTATTAATGTGGTTCGGAAGGAGACGTTCCCGCAATAAACATCTTTTTTTTACTACTAAATTTTTTTTCTGAAACTTTTTTTTCCAATCATTTTTGGATACTCTCCAAAATTAAACCCGGTTATCAAACAAAACTCTTCCGGGCCATAAACCATTTAGTATCCCTCAATTTAAAATACAACCGCTTTATGCTATCTAGGGATACTACTGCGTCCGACTGTAACTGATGAAGAAACATCTTATGAAACAACAACCTGTCCCTTGTAATTGAGCGACATCCAACAAGTAACCAAAAACAATGTTTCTAAAAATTTCACGTCGCTCATCATGCAATATTTCAAATATTTGTCATATATTATATCCCGATCCTTTTAGGTTGACAACAGCTTAGATTTTGAAAATCATGATGCAATACAACATGTTACAAATTATATTATTGTAACAAAAAAACTCAACAACTTAAAAACTATTATATTTTAAAGAATTCGGAAAAAATTCCGCAATTTAAATCACAAAATAAACCCAATATCTATTTATAAGCAAGATAAATAATCCAATTTAAATCACAAAATAAACCGAAATCTATTTATAAGCAAAATATTTATAAGCATTTTTTATAACAATACCAATTAAAAAAAACATTTTTTGACAAACTATATGTACAACATGTACAACATCAAAATGCAAAGGTACAACATCATCAAACAACAATAAGAATTATTATATGACAAAATTCATATTATTAAACATTGTAACAAAAATGTACAACCACATAATGCATAATTTACGCAGTACACACTTGTACAATCATACATCTACTTATTAAATACTATCAAAACCTCAAGGCTACTAATAAAACCTACTTAGTATCAAATATAACACATAAATCTAAGAAAATACAATAATAAAACACCATAAAGTTTTGTGTTTTTACAATTTTTTCGGAATAATTAATATGAATAATAAGGCCTACATTGATAAATGATGATTAAAACACAAAACAAGTAAAGATTTTACCATATTATCGAAATTATTTATGAAATCGTCCATAATTGCATATGGGGTAAGAAAATCGCTTCCCAAAGAGAGTTTTCCAAAAAAAAAAAATGAAAAATGAACCAAAAAAAATACGTTTTTATAGTTGGGCAGGAGTTTGGTTCGCAGATGGCTACCTACGTTCGCAGATGGACTAATCCATCTGCAAACGTACAAGTCGATGAAGCACGCATGTGCTTTACTAGCTTGTACGTTCGCAGATGGACTAGTCCATCTGCGAACATAGGCTTCCCATCTGCGAACATGATGGCTATTTTTGCAATTTTGGTTTTTTTGCTCTTTTCCACAAAGTAATTAGCGTTTTTGGCTAAATTTGCAATTTTCTCAAAGAAATAACAGTCTTCGGTAACAAGAAAGATTAACCAACCAACAAGATCTAACATAATAGAAAATACATATGTTATCAAATAGATTACTTGCAAATGTAATCATCACATCTACAGAAACAAACCAAAAAAAAAAAAACAAAACAAAACGAACATTAAAAAAAGTTAAGTTTTATATCATAAAAAATGTGTTTTCCAAACCAAAATACGAGACTAAAACAATACTCATGTATTATAAAACCAAACACACGAAATGTAGCTAGATCGAAGCTCACGATATTATTTCGACAATTCCAAAAATGCCTACCGGGATTTGAATGGCGCCAAGATGTTTGTTTCGTTGGCCCTCAAGATCACATAGCTTCACGCCGCCGCGTACACCGATGTGAGCAAATGGTAGTCGATTGTGTGTTGTGCAAGAGTCGGAAGGCATTGTTCTTGAAAGGGAGTGAAGGAGGCTTCGTGATTTGTTTTTGCACGAGGAAGGTAAGAATGAAGTCGGATATGGTCGAAATTGGGGCTTCATTTATTATAGGTGGAGTACGTGTACATGTAAGACTTGCCATTTAAGGTTCTTTGATACATCATACTTCTACATAGAATTCGTCATCGGCAACCATTTGAAATCAAATATAAACCTTCCTAATAAATAAAGATTTTTTTGCCACATGTCACATTCTCATTTATTTTGCTACATGTAATTTTGTGGTTATTTTAAATTAATTTTTATTCCACATGTCATTTTATGGTTTTTTTTTTCATTTTATAAAATTCTAGATAGTATTAAAATGCAATAATAAATGCATATCAATTTGAGTAATTAACTTTCCTTTTAATTTCAAATTTACTAAATTAAAGATTCATTAATTTTCTTTATTTATTTAACTAAATATTTGTTCAAATTTAAAAGAGAAAAAAACACTTTAACTTTTAAAATTCAATATTTTCTTACTTTTCTTATAAATTCAAACTTCTCAAATGTTTAGAATTTTATATTTAGTTTTTCTTTTAAATAAGCTCATATAATACATGAGTCTCACACCTAATAGTTTAATTTACACATATCTAGCGATTTTATTGATCTATTGTTTAAAAAAATATCAAATCGAGTAAGTAACAAAAAAAAAAAAAAAATTGTGAGAGAATAACATTTTTCCCTAAAATATATTGGCAAGTGAAAGAATGGTCGACTAGGACTAATCAAAGTCGGTTAACAAATGCTTGAAGAAGCTAAGAGGGTGAAAAGCAAATACAGCAACAAGCATGTCAAAGCAAGCTCTTCGAATCTTCGATACTCATCACCCCACCACCATTCTCAACTCCCTTCATACAACTACAACTTCTCTTTCACAAACACGCCAAGCTCATGCCCAGCTCCTCCGAACTGGTCTTTTTCTCGACACCCATTTCACCACAAAGCTCCTCTCTCTCTACGCCAATCATCTCCGCTTCTCAGACGCCAACCTCCTCATTAACTCTATCGAAAACCCAGATGTCTTCTCATTCTCCACCCTCATTCACACTTACTCCAAGCACGGTCGTTTCAGTGATACCATTATGTTATTCTCTCGCATGCTATCTCATGGGGTATTGCCTGATACCCGTGTCATTCCTTCTGTCGTTAAAGCTTGTAGCGGGTCAAACAATTTGACAGGTGGGAAACAGGTTCATGGGTTTTGTATAACTTCTGGACTTTGTCAAGATCCGTTTGTTCAATCTTCTCTGATTCATTTCTACGTAAAATGTTCTCAGCTGATATATGCACACAAACTGTTTGACGTAATGACTCAACCTGATGTTGTCTCGTGTAGTGCTTTGGTTTCCGGTTATGCTCGACAAGGGTACGTGAAGGAAGCCAAGATGGTGTTTGGTAGGATGGAGGAGCTAGGAATTGAGCCGAATCCAGTTTCATGGAATGGAATGGTAGCAGGGTTTAATCAGAGTGGACATTATTTAGACGCAGTGATGATGTTTCAGAAGATGCACTCGTTTGGTTTCAAACCAGATGGAACAACCATATCTAGTGTTCTTCCTGCTGTTAGCGACCTGGAATACTCTTTAGTGGGAGTTCAAATCCACGGGTATGCAATCAAACAAGGTTTTGAATCCGATAATTGCATTGTCAGTGCTTTGATCGACATGTATGGGAAATGTCACTCCACCATGGAGATGTCACAGGTGTTCGATGAAATGCCTGAGAGAGATGTTGGTGCTTGTAACGCTTTAATTTCAGGGTTTGCTAGAAACGGGTTAACCGATGAGGCACTCAAAGCGTTCAACAAATTACATGATCAAGAATTGGAATTAAACGTTGTGTCATGGACTTCAATCATATCTTGTTGCTCACAACATGGAAAAGACATTGATGCCCTTAATCTATTCAGACAGATGCAAGATTCGGGGGTAAAACCGAATTATGTCACAATCCCTTGCTTACTTCCCGCATGTGGAAACATTGCAGCATTAAGTCACGGGAAATCCGCACATGGGTTCTCACTTAAAACCGGGATTTCAAATAATGTTTATGTTGGAACTGCTTTAATCGATATGTATGCTAACTGTGGAAGAATCAAATTAGCGCGTGTTTTTTTCGATCGAATGTCCGTTCGCAATATCGCGTGTTGGAACGCAATAATGGGTGGGTATGCGATGCACGGGAACGCTACCCAAGTTCTTGAAATATTCAAATTAATGGAAAAAAGCGATCAAAAACCCGACTCTATTACTTTCACTTCTTTACTATCGGCGTGTAGTCATAGCGGTTTCACTTCTCAAGGTCAACATTACTTTGACCGAATGACAAAAGATTATGAAATAAAACCGAGAATCGAGCATTACGCGTGTTTGGTCACGCTTTTAGGACGTACGGGGAAAATACTAGACGCGTATTCGATAATTACAAAAATGCCATTTGAGCCCGATGGTTGTGTATGGGGAGCTTTACTTAGTTCATGTAGAGTTCATCATAATATGGAAATCGGTAAATTGGCTGCTGATAAATTATTCGAATTGGAACCGAATAATCCCGGGAATTATGTTTTGTTATCGAATATTTACGCGTCTAAAGGGTTATGGAAAGAAGTTGATAAAGTTAGGGATTTGATGAAATCAAAGGGAATGAGAAAGAATCCGGGGTGTAGTTGGATTGAGATCAAGAACAAGGTTCATATGCTTTTAGCAGGTGATCAATCACATCCTCAAATGATTCACATTTTAGAAAAAATGGAGAATTTGGGTATGGAAATGAAGAAATTAGGGTGTTTGCCAGTTACTTCGTTTGTATTACAAGATGTTGAAGATCAAGAAAAGGAGCATATTTTGTGTGGACATAGTGAAAAATTGGCTGTGGTTCTTGGGATTTTGAATACTTCACGAGGTTCTACTCTTCAAGTGATTAAAAACCTTAGGATTTGTGGGGATTGTCATGTTTTTATGAAATTTATATCGAGGTTTGAAGAACGGGAGATATTTGTTAGGGACACGAATCGGTTTCATCATTTTAAAGATGGATTATGTTCATGTGGAGATTATTGGTGAATCATAACGGTTGCCAAAGATATTGTATTGTCTTTGTCATGTATTAGACTGTGACCGATGTCAATACAAGAACTGGCCCAAAAAGATGGAACAAGGTGGACATGGATTCACTCTTGATCTTTTATCTGTACAAAAGATATGAATGCTCTCATTATCCTCGTCATCGAAAATAGCCGAAAAAATGTTTTTTCATGTCATATCCCTTGAAACAAATGTAGCATTACACTCATGGCTGGTAAAAGGTATATGGATCAAGTTATATGCAATATCTTTGATATTCTTGCATCACTTTGCTATTCTTATTTGAAGATAAAAGTAAAGTAGGCAGCTTAAGGAAAGTATTTTCTCCATTAAGCAATAGTAATTTACTTTAGGTAAGTTCTCACCTTGGGCAAAGTATTTCCCTTTATGCAAAATAGGATCGTATTCTTAATTCGTCCATTTAAGAAATGTACTTTTGTTATTTTATGCTAACATAGCAACATATTATAAGTTTCGCCATTTCAAAAAGGTAGGTTATGTTGTCTATCCATCAATCAATTTTAAAAGAGGGGGGG